ACTGCGCACCATATCATAGAGGCACATTTACAGGCAGATTAAAATATCACATAGGTATAGATCTACCATAGAGCACCCACTTTATATCAAGAACTGGAGAAGAAAGAATAAAAAAAGCCTGGCCCTGAACCGAAGAACTTTTGTTTTTAAACAAAGCAAATTTAGGGTAGGTTGAAAACAAAGAAGAATCCAGTTCACAATATGCTGTGTTCATGCCCAGGCTAGCCAGCCATCCTGTGTGCAAGGGACACACGATGCAAAGGCACAACTAACTTAGATAACAATGCTGCCCTTAGAAGCATCAAACTTGTTTATTCTGCATAGTTGTAATACACTGCTCTGGAACAGGAGCATAGGAAACACGATATAAACCTTTTCTTGAAGGTTCCTGGTCATCACTGGGAAGACCAAGGGCAGGGCTGCAATAATGCAATCCGGTGTTTCAGGAACGAGGGGCTCTTTGCCTCTACTTTTTTTCAACTTCAAAGAGTCCTCTCTCCCTCCCAGGTCTTATTACACAAGGCCACTGCCTCTCTAGTCGTCACCTGCCTCCTCACCTGATGTGAAGCAAGGAGAGTTAATCAGCAACCATACTAAGTTCCAAATTTAAATTGTCAGCAAAGGCCCTCGTCCGGGTTAAAGTACTTGGATTTCGGCCACTTTACCCATTTTCTTTGATGTTCATTTAGGTACAACAAAAGGAGGTGCCTGGCTCTAAAACCAAATTCCACCAACTGCAACACTGTACCCATGACAAACCTGAGACGAGAAAGAGACGAAGCATTTTACCTCAAACAGGGACTGCGATGATAGTAACAGCTAATCTTTAATTAACAGCACCTACTATGTGCTAGGTGTGTGCTAGGAGCTTTATAGATATTATTGTATCGCACAATACCTCTATGAAATAGGTCATTCTGATCTCCATTTTATAAATAAGAAAAATGAGGCCCCAGTTCACACAAAAAGTTGCAGGGCTAGAATTTGAATCACATGCTCTGGTAAAAAAAAAAAAAACCTCAATGTCTTTGCTGCCAAGGAGGTAAAGTGAATGTGTGAAGTGGCTCAGTTTTATGATTATAAAGCTGTGCTTCTCAGCCTTGGCTGCACACTGGAGTACCTGGGGAGACTGCCAGGTGCGTTCCACCCCCACAGACTGTGATTTAATTGGTCTGGGAGCCGCCCAGGTGATTCTAATGGGCAGTCAAAGCTGAGAACCAGTATGTTCAGACACAGAAAATGGTGCACGGCCTCCTGAAAGCAGTTTTTTAAAAAATGTAAAGGTTGATTAAACACTGTGCTGTTCAAAGGCTGTAACTACTGTCTCTGCCGCCAGTATGTAACCTCTGCCCCACTCCTCAGAATAATTAAGGTACAGTATGAGTGGGACACAGCCAGCCCTGGTGGTCTAGTGGTTAGGCCCCAGTTCGTTTCCTGGTCAGGGAACCACACCAAACATCTGTTGGGTGTCATCCTGTGGTGACTGCATGTTGCTGTGATGCTGGAAGTTACACACCAAGTTATTTCAAATACCAGCAGGGTCACCCGTGGTGGAGAGGTTTCAGCGCAGCTTCCAGACTCAGATAGACTAGGAAGAAGGACCTGGCGAAAAAACTGGCCATGAAAAGCCTGTGAATAGCAGCAGAGCACTGTCTGATACAGGACCGGAAGGTGAGAGGATGGCACCAAAGACCAGGCAGGGTTCCGCTCTGCTGTACACAGGGACGCTAGGAGTCAGAATCAACCAGATGGCACTGACAACAACAAGTGGGTGGGAGACAAATAAACAGGTAAACAGGCTGGCAGACATAGAAATTTGTTTTTAGTGGAGGGGAGGCTGCCTAGTCTTGGAACTTCCCCATGTCACCCACCGACCACCATCTCCTATTTATGGAACAGTTGTACTGCAAAATGCACTTTGAGTTAAACATTACCTACTTTCAAAATACTCTCTGGAGTACAACCCTTTCTTAAACTGAAGATGACCTAAATAGGTTCACTTAACAAACATACACCTTCAGATTATAGGGCCAAACTACTTAAACATTTCAAGAGTCATATTTTTTAAAGAAGGCAACTCATAATTTACTCTGATCTTAATCCAAGCCGGGTCAAGAGATCTCACGTAACTAAACAAGTCTTAACAACGGAGTCTAATGCCCTAAAAACAAATCTATGCAGGTGGTACATGGCACTGCTGAGCAAAATGTCATTTGTCATTGGAAAGGGGAAGCAAAAGCTGCATACCATCAGAAAGTCTTCATTAAATAGCCTGCAGATGTGAAATCCAAAATAAACGCTACAGAAGTCAATCGTGAACCCACCAAAAAGAAGAAGAAACTGTAGCCTGCTTGGGACATAACTTCATGCATAATCACACTGTAATTATTGCAGCAACACAACTCAAGAGGAAATGGCAAAAGAGTATATCAAGAAACGGACTTTACGCGCCACTCATTCAAACTACCTAGAACATTTTTTCATCTCCTGCTGCAAAGCAGATGTGGGTTTTTTTCCCCTCCCCAAAGCCCCGGTGCATGGCTGTATATCCTAGCTCTAGGTCCTTCTAGTTCTTCTATGTGAGCTGCCACCACAGCATGGCAGTTGACAGATGGGTGGGGAGGTTCTGTGACTAGGAAATGAACCAGGACCACTGAAGCAATGAGTGCACAACTTTAACCACTAGGCCATCAGGGCTGGCTTATTTGGGTATTTTAACGGTCTCCTATTACCATTTACCACCATTCTCCCCCACTACCACCACCAAGAGAAGGTAAATAAAAGGAGAACAAAAACCTAGATTGATTTTTCCAAATGGCATACTGCAAATAAAGGCCATGACTCAGAAATCAGGGCCTCAGTCAATGAGTTCCACCACCGGCAGTTGAGTCAACTGTGTTATTCGGGCAAAACATTTTGTCATTACTTTGGTTTTTTTCAAAAAGCAGAGACAGAAAAGTGAAGCCTGAGAAAGCGGACAAAAGCGTTTGGGATTAATAGTCTCAAAGTTCAGGCTAAGTTTGTTTGTTGATTGAATAACTCATATGAGTGCCAGGCACTGTGCAGGGCTGAGGATATATTGGTGAACGTGACAGCGCCTGCTCTCGTGGGTCTCCTTAACTGAGAGACCGAGGCACCAGCCTCATAGAACCCACCATCCACACCTCTTCCAGCCATGTGTGTGAAAATGCAGTCGTGCCACTCTACAGTTAGACAGCAAGTTTTCCCTTTGGTCTAAAGGCACTGAACTTCACAGGGAAACTTGCTGGTACCTTCTAAGTAAGTAAATATCCATACTTGCATGCCAACAATAATTCAGGGGTAAATTTCAACAAGTTTAAAGAAACAAGTTTTAAACCTAAGATGGTATCAAAACAAGTTTTCCCTTTAAACCAAGCCCAGCTCGCATATTTTCACTGCCTGTGGCTATGCAGCTTCAGGAAGCTAAAAATACTCCCGTACTAAGTTGGGAAGAGCAAAGAAGCAGCAGCAATCAGCCGTACATCATTTTCTCTCACTTAAAAAAATTCTTTTACTAGAAAACACTCAAAATAGCTGAAGCAACGAAAAGGCATCTGTTTTATATTTGTATACACATACACAGACAGAAACATCCATCCAGCTTGTATCTTCCTAGTAACATGAAATAAGTATATTTGCATTATCAGCAAAGACCGTCAATATTTCACTACTCACAGCTTTTTGCTATTATTCTTTTGGTTGGAGAGAGGGCTGCATAAGTGAAAACTAGCCAGGAGTACAAGTAAAAGCTTTCAAAAAATATGTATAGCATGACTATGCTCTTAACAAGACCACATGGTGCTTACTTTGCAGTCATGCATCATTTATGTTTCTGAAATTTACATTAAAGGAGATTCAAAAATAGAAGGAGAGGAGCTTTAAGTCTTTCTAAAGGTCTTGCTCAAGTTGTGTTTGCTCTGTCTGGCAAAGTGAAAAACAGTTTTGTCCTCTTGGACCTCTCAGGGCTAATTGTAAAACACACACACCCCTCTACCTCGGTGAAAAAAACTAAAAGTTACTCAGGAAGACAAATAAACTTTTTTTTTTTTTTTCCCCAAAATATACCTGCAGGATGGTAAACAGCAGTGGTGTGGATTTCTCCAACATCTCTAAACTCACCCTATTAAGTCAACAGAAACTAGCAGGTCTACGTTCCACGCGACTGGGCCATTAGTTTGGGCTGCTGGATCATGGCTTAATTTCCCTTGAAAAAACAGCCCAGTTTGAGAAATCTCTGCCAAACTCCCCATTTCTTAGGCTACTGACAAAGTCAACTGAAAAGCAAATACCTAGAAACCAGGAAACCATGTCCCTCCGGGATGGGCTGGCAGGAGCGGAGGGAGGGCTCCCGGTTTGCCTGCCCGGACTGCAGCTGGGCCTTTGACAAGCGCTGGGGTAAAGGGCCCCTTGCGCACCCGGCCGGCCGACGCCCCGCGGGCCCAGGGGCTGCTGCCACCACTTTCAAACGTAACCTCCGGAGGAAGCGGGAGAATGGGGATGTCATGGCCCCATCATCTCCCAGACACTCCGGAGGCCCGGCGGCCCGGCTCTGATGTCCCTGAAGGTCAGAGGTGGCACCCGCAGCGCCAAGGGCTCACCGAAGCCACTTTTCCAGATGCGCGGGAGGCGCGGGGCAAAGTCAGCCACTGGCCGCGCACGTCCCGTTAACCGTACCTTGTAACTGGGCGGAAAGGGACTCCTGGTGCTGCTGGTACTTGAGCGCCACCGCCTCGGCTTTCCGCAGCTGCGTCTGCAACTCGTAGTAGAGCATCGCGCCGTAGAGGAAGCCGACCACCACGGTGAGCAGCAGCAGCGTCTGGAAGATCCGCTTCTGCTTTCGGGAGCACATCCCGTTTCCCATAGTCCTGCCTGGCCCCCGCGCCGCGGCCGCCCCGCCGCCGTCCCGTCCCCGCTCGGTCCCCCGCTCGGCCCGGGCGAGCGCTCAGCAGCGGCCGCCGCAGGAGGGGGCCGGACGCAGCATGAGCAGGAGGCGCGAGACACAAAAGCGGGGCCGGAGGGGAGGTGACGCCCGCTCAGCCCCCGCGCGACGCGGGGCGCGCGGCCATCCACGCCGCCGGGGCAGCCGCCGCCGCCAAACTTTTGCGAGACTGGCTCTCCGCGGGTGCCCGGGCCCCGGAGGGGGCCCTCCGCATACTTCTGAGCGGGCTGTCCGCGCGCCGGGCCCCGCACGCCGCCTGCCTTTTCCCTCCTCCCCACTTTTTGGCCCGGCTGTCCCTGGAGTCCCGCCCCGGCCGCTCCCCGCCCCCTCGCGGCGGCTCCCACTGCGCGACTTTGTTGCCACCAAAAGGAGGGGGTGCGCGCCCAACAAAGGGACCCGGGCTCCAGGCGGCCCCTCAGCGCGCGGCCCAGGGTGGGTGGATGGGTGGGGGCCGGCCGCCCCGGCGGGTTTGGGGGACAGCGGACCGGTGTCACTGATGAGGCTCCCGAGCCTCGGCAGCCGCCGCCGCCTCCCACCCAACTTACGTGTCACCCACGGCCCCGCTATTCTGGCCAACGGGATTCCGGGAGGAAGTCCCACTCGGGCTCCCCGCTCATTGGGCCCGTCCGAGCCGCCGCTCCCTCCCTTCGGGGAGGCACTGCCGGGCTTGATTGGACGTCTGCGTTGTCCGTCCGGCCCCGGGCCGCGCCTTCCCTCCCCCCGCGGGCGCCGGCTGGGGGCTCCGTGGCCGCGCGACCGCCTGGTGCCCGGGGCGCCCACGTGGAGTGCGGGTGGTGGGGAGAGGCGGCGGAGCGAGGGCCGGGGAGGTTGGAGTGCACTGGGGACGTGTCTCGGCTTGCAGCTGGGCGAGGTACTGTGCGCACGTGTGTGTGGGTTTGTGTTCTAGCACTCGGAGCGCACGTGGGGAGAGCACTACAGTGTTGTAAGTGGGAGAGGATGTATGGGAACAACTGTGTACACTCCACCGAGTACCCTTTCTTTCCCTCCCTATCCATGGGCAGATGCTGCGGACACACGGGATAGCTACATCGTGGGCGCAGTCTTCGCAGTAGAACCAGAGATGCCTTGCCCGCTGAGTCTTGCCCCATCCAGCGTACTAGGGTGGATGCGTGTGTGCCCACAGATGGCAGGACGCGAGTCAGGACTCGAGCATGCTAGCACGCTAGACTTACCGCTCAACTGCCCGCGTGGATTGGGGAAATCAGTTTGCCTTTGGCAGAGAGGAAAGAAATGATCTCATATTTTTTCCCTGGCTGCAAAGAGAATAATTTAAAAAGAAGTCTTACAGGCTGAAATGAGCATGCATTCATTTTGTCATACGTATTGTTTCATTGGTCGCAAAAGTACGTCAGTTACATTGCTAAATTACATTTTAAAGTCCAGCAAAGATTCCCTATGTAAAAACAAGTAAACAAACGTAATATCCACAAATGTCTTCAAAGAAAATCTGTAGTGCTTTTGTTCTTTCTGTGTACTTGAGGGGGGAAAATTGAGGTTATGCATAAATCATCATTTTATTTCTGCCCTTGACCTGAATTCTCAGAAAGTAAATTTAATTTCTCAGATGCCTCAGTAGTGTGGAATTTATTACATACTCCATAATTTTAATGATATAGCAACTGGATTTTAGTCATCACTATCACTAATGGCCAGTGAGTGCTCAAAATGAGGGTAGAGCTGTTTAGCCAAGTACAAACAAGGCAGTCCCTGATGCAGATTTTTTTTTTTTTTTAAGGAAGATTAGCCCTGAGCTAACTGCTGCCAATCCTCCTCTTTTCGCTGAGGAAGACTGGCCCTGTGCTAACATCCATGCCCATCTTCCTCTACTTTATATGTGGGACGCCTACCACAGCATGGCGTGCCAAGTGGTGCCATGTCGGCACCCCAGATCCAAACCAGCGAACCCAGCCCCCGAAGTGGAACATGGGAACTTAACCCCTGCAACGAAGGGCCAGCCCCTGATGCAGAATTTTTTCAAGTGGACTCTGAAATTAAAGGATGCTAAAAACCGTAAAGTAAGTTGAATTTACAGCCTGTGACATTTATACTGCGGTGAAAACTAAGTGTGCCTGGCATGTGCTTTTCCCTAATAAATAATAATTTACATTATATTGCTCAAAATGCTTTCATTTACAGATACGCTGTCTCACTCATCACAGCCAGGCTAAGTATTAGGCTTACATTTTAGTAAATAAAGACACCAAAGCTTATCAAAGTGACTATGATAGCTCTGGGACCCTCTGGGTCATGCACAAAGTTAGGAGCTCAGCAGAATTAGAATCCACGTCAGAATCCTCCCCTTTCCATCTCTTTTTCTTATAGAAGCCAGGTTCTCATTCTTTTTAAACTAGTCTATTTAACAAATTGTATCTGGTCCATTAAATGAGAACCAAGTTTAAAAAGCAAAAGATCTAAAGAAGTTTTAGAGTTTTGTTCTGTCACGTAAATACTATATAGCCTGACTTGTTATTGAACCTACTTCTGTTTAAATTTCCCTCTTTCTGTCTGACTCTTAGAAATTGAGACTGGATAATTCCTGAAACCTTACTAGAATTCCTCATAACTAAAAATTTTTACCATTGTCAGTGTACAGTTTGCTAAATAAACTCTTCCTCCAAAAAAACTACCATAACTGCTCTGGAGGAAATGAAGGTTTACAGCAACAATTGTTCCTGCCCCACACTTGAATAAAAAGTTATCCTAGCCACAAAAGAAAAAGAAATTGTACCAAGGGTTGGAAAATTATTGCTCATATCTTACACAGTATGCAGTATTTAGTTGTATTTCAGAATCTTTGGGAAATTCATATGCTTCCGGAATACATGATTACTCATTTTCAACCTCTGCTTCTTTCCGATCTGATTGCAGACTCCGAAGGTATTCTTTGCCTAAAGCTGCTAGCTGACTGCAGAATAATAATAAATACAGGCCATAAAACACAACTCAATATTTTAGTCATAAAATTTGAAGGAGAACAAAAATTATTACCTGAACTTATCTATTATTTCAAATTCAAGAAGGGTATGTAGAAGTACATAAAATCACTAATGGCAGTGTCTTTATAATATTACTTTCCCAAAGTGAAGTATGCTGTCAGTTTCTTGAAAATATCAGCACAGAGCTTTTGAAAGGCCAACACTGGGGAAGCTATCCGGGGCCTATAAACTGAATTTGCCTAACATTGCCTTTGGGTAGAGCTTGTGATAGATGAGCTATTTATGCTGGTCTTGCTAGGTCTGTTGTAAGTTTATTTTATTTTTGTTTCTTTATCACTTAGAAAATACTATTAGACAATTATATTCCTATATGCCATATATTTAACTCGATATAATTTAAAAATTGTAAGTCCTGAGGAATTTCACCAATTTAATATTTTATTTCTAAGGCAGGAAGAAATTAACTTAAAGAGATTCAAGGTCTTACATTTGAGAAGGGCTAAGGTAACATTTGGAACCTTAGTATTCTCTCCAGTTTTAGTAAATTTGTCATTTCAGTAAGATTTGTTCCTTTTCAAAATAGAGGACGGCAAGAAAAATACAGTTGAGGGATACAGCTGATGTATTATTTGTAAAAATAGATAATTTTAAATTAATAATGTTCAAGATGCTAGAGTAAATAATTTCCATTGTCTGTGAAATTTTTCATTTAAATCTCGAATTGAATTGAATTGAATCTCGTTGAAATTAATTGAATCCAGTATTTTTTAATTTGCAAGAGAAATCAACACTTAAGAAAAGATAATGAATGTTAAATAAAATTTTTTAAAAATTTCTAACTGTGTGTGGTGATGGATGTTAACTAGACTTTTTGTGGTGATCATTTCCCAATAAATATGTAACATATCAAATCATTATGTTATCTGCCTGAAACTAATATAGTGCTAAATGTCAATTATATTCAATAAAAAAGAAATAAAATTTTAAGCGGTGTTTCAGTATTCATAAACCACAGTTTTAATTTTTTCATGTGGAAATTGCTGAAATCAGCTATCCTTTTTCCTCTAGGAAACTTTACTCATTATCTCTGTTTTTTTTTTTGCCACTTCACCATTTGCTGTCACTTAATTAACACACACTCTTGGCTGCTTGCCACCTATACCTAACCTGTTTGGAGGGGTAAAGAAACCTACCTTCAAGGTATTCTGTCTTTTTGAAGGTTCTGTGAGAGATATCTGGAAACTCCTTTTTCACAAAATTTTGCTAATTACCTGGCGATAATTGTTAACAGATTAACAAAGTAAGAAGTAGCTGAACGCACAACAAAGCGATGGAAGCTCACTCAGTTTGTCTTGCTTTGGTCTGTCTCTAAACTGCCAGCTTGATCATTTTGAACTATTCAGAGTTAAAGGAGAGTAAAGGGGAAAATAGATGACTACCCATTATTTGTAAAATGCTTTTCAATAAGAGAAACCTCACCGTCAGCACCACCAATAAATATCTTTTGGACATAGACTACATTGATAATGGAAGAAATGATCTAGAAGGCCCTACTTGCTATAAGATGTGTAGCTAAACTAAAGACACAGGAACTATCATTTCAAATTCTTTAACAGCCTTCTAAAGCAGGACCATCTAGCATACCCTAAACTCTTCCAAATTCTAAGGTGGGACAAGAAATTATTTTGAACTTGTTGCTTAATGTTTGTAATAGCTAGCATGTTTAGTTTCCTAGGAATGTTAGAATGAATAGAAAGGGACCATATGTGAGACTCAGAAGAGAAGTGAGCTTCCCAAATCTTCCGTTGGCTCCTTCAGGCAGCTTTTCACTAGCTCGCTCCCTTCAGTAACTCAGAGACTTCAGGTAAGCAGAGACCAAGGAAAAGATCAGTGGCCAATGAAACATGACGTTTTTAATGTTTCCCCCCAAACATATAGTTTATTGGATTCCTTTGTATAAAAGACATTCTTGGTTTATCCACAACCATTTTAAAGAGTTAGTATTATAATTTTAATATGTTATATGATAGGTATTTATAGTAACTTCTTAATTACCATGAAACATGGCTGGTCATGGTTATGGTATATCCAATGCTAAACCCTGGGTCAGAAGTTCAACATTCAATTTCAGAACTATTCTTAAGGGGAATCATAATCTGCTTCATAAACATTCTTTATGCTCTGGTTTCCAGGAACATTTTGAGTCAAAACAAAGGGACTATCAATGTGTTTACTTAGAAATAAAGTAGGGCAAACTTTCAAATAAAAAATAATAAGAATCAAGTTGCCTCAGCATTAAGTCCTGCTCAAATTAAAATTGTGAAATAGAAACATTTGTCTTGGGTTACTCTGCTCTTTCTTGTTCTATTCTCTAAGTCAACTCTTCAACTCCTGGCATCCAACATCCTAGTTATCCCCTTTGGTTTCCCAGAATCCTCATCTATGACTATGCCTGTCACACCCCACCACCCACTCACATAGACACACACGAGACTTTCCTACTTGAAGACAAAGTACAGTAATCTAAAATCATCCTTCCTGAAAATGCCTATTACCGTCCTTTCCTTTTCTTCAAGTAACCACTTAGTTAAAGGAAAGCAAATTGGATATATTAATTAATAGGAAGATATTAAAGCATGCATTATTAATTTATTATTCCTCTCAAGAATTTTGTGGGAAAATATGTTAAATCAAAAGACTGACCTCTAATGACATAATCTTAGACAGCCTGGTAAGTAAATGAGTAATAACTGTGGATAGAAGCATTTGACTTTTTGCCAATTAGTTCCTGATTCTCCTGCCCAGTTTAAAAGGGTTAGAAACATTTAAAAGGTGACTCAAGATGCCTGCTGCCAGGGTACAAATCCCACTTAAGTCATGAACTATCTCTAAGGTCAAGAGTAAGTCAGTAACTGTTTGAACCATTAATTCTCTCATCTATGAAATGGAAGGGGTAATCTTGTCTGCCCTGACTAGCTCCGAGACAGTTGCTTCAGAGAAAATAAGCCCACAGGATTCAAGGGAGAAGCAAAATGCAGACTTCATTTAAGTAAAGTTGAACGTCATAGCAGTGTTTGTTGTCATTCACCTAAATTTGTACATTTCTGGAAAACTATAGTTGATTTTTTAAAAGATCAGCTTCAGCTACCTAATTTAAAATAATTTTCCAATCATTTTTATCAATTGAGCTTCTTTCCTTTCATGGTTGTGAAGGGGTAAATTATGACTTTAAAAGAAAGGAATTTTCTTGTAATACACTTATTCAAGCCAGATTTCTAATTCCTGGGTTATAATTATGGACTAATGTTTTCATTATGCTTTAAATCTCAACAATTTTTTGTCAGTAGTTACTGTGTGCAAGGCCCAACGCAGGGAGGGAAGTGGAAGGCAGGGGATGTGATGATGAATGAACCACGGACCCTCTCTGCGAAGAGCCTGCAGATTTGGTACTTATTTGTTTAAAGGCTAAATTGAAGCTCTGGTTGGAAACTAAATTTCTCAAGGAGAAAGCAGAGTGAAGAAAGAAGAAGCCTCATGATGCAATCAAGATATTTCTAGAAAAGGAGGCCTCTTAGACAAGGCATTTGGGACAAGCTAATCAGTAGAGCCAGTAAAAGCTGGGAAAACGGAAGTGAT